CCGAGGCCCAGCTCTGGGTGCACTCTGGACCCTGGCATGGGGAAGCCCCCACTGCATGCACCAGTCCCACAGGGGGCATCAGCGGCTTAGAGGGACCCAGGCCAGGCACCCTGCTCCTTCCACCCTCTGCCAGTGGGCCCCGAGTGCAGGCCTCCAAGGCCTCCTGGATTTTCTGCTGAGGCTGCTGGTTAGGTGACCGTGCCTGAGAGGGAGTCAGGAGCTGGAACCTAAACTGCATCCCTCAGCAGGAGCTGGATATGTGGCCCAGGACTTTCCCACAAGAACATTCTGGATCTTTTCCCTCCCCCTCCTTCTTTCCCAGTTGGTGGGCCTTTCAACCAGCCTCAACCCCAGCTCCTCCCTGCCAAGTAACCCCGATGTCCCTCATACACACTGGTTCCCAGAGGGATGACGACGTCTCTCCTTCTCCCTCTCTCTCACACACATGTGCACACATATATACACACCACAATCCATACAAGTACCACACAGTGCACACCCACGTGTTCACACACATACCACATACAAACACTACACACATACATACACGTGCACACACCACACGGGACATGCAGACATACAGATGCGCACACACATGCATACACACTACAAGCATATGCCACGTTTGCACACATAAACCACATGCACACACCCATGTATACACAGGTGCATACAGGATGGAGGTTTTCAAAACAGCCATCCTGTTTGTAGGTTGTGATGACCACAGTCGCTTTGTGTCACCCTCATCCAGTGTGAGAGAGTAGGCTCATGAGGCCACATGACTTATTAATGAGGAATTTGGGGCCTTTGGAGTGGCTTTTGTGAGTCTGGGCTCCGAGTTTGCCCAGGTGTGCCTGCTCCATGGGTTAATGTGCTCACCTATAAATAACAGTGGTGACAGGTCCCCTGTCAGCACTCGCTGATGAACAGTCCCCTCTCCCACCATTACAGCCTTGTGACTGTGGGAAAATTAATTTAAGTGGTAGTTAATTTCTAATGAATTTCACCCAAGCGGTTAATATGGTCCCTCGGTGTTATGGTAACCTTCACGGATCATTGCGTTATGTAAATAAATCCTACTTTATGCTGGTTTATTAAAAAAGAGCACAATTGGGGAGTCCAGCTAAATCTCACCTGCCCATGCACACAGCAAACACTCGACAGGAAAACCTTCTTGGGGGAGACATAAAGACACCATCAGGATATTTCCTGGAATGCTGAGCTCCTCACTTTCAACCAGTTGACTAAATAGCCCACTTTCACTGCTCTGGATAAATATCTCCAAAACCGTTCTATTGTATTCCAAGGAAAAAGAGGAGAATTTTTACCTTGAAACCCATGTGAATTTCATAACAAACTTCAACAAGCATCTTCTCTGAAACCTGATTCTGAGGATAGTAAGGCCAGGGTGGGCTTTTGCTGGGAGCCAGGTGGGTAGTCCTCTGCTAGCACAGAGGATCGTGTGCCCTCACTGTCCTCACGTCCATAGCCTTTGACCATTTGTCCACTGGGCCCTTTGCCTTTTATCACCTGGGAAGCGTGGAAGGTTCCAGATGCAGACAGGAGGGTTGCAAGCCATTGCAAATTGGTGATCAGTTTCTTTCCTTCCACCTGAGCTGCAGCGCCCTGCCCAGCCCTGCACACAGCTGATAGGCAGTTTCTCCTTCCTTCACAGCTAGGGGCAGCGTCTGGCAAGAAGGTGAAATCCTGGCGACTCTGAGAGAGTTGCTTAAAACAATAAGAGGGATGAGGGCGTCAGTATTTGGTTTGTCCTCTAGCCCTTTCCTGTCTGACTGCCTGGAATGTTGTCTCCAGACACCATTTGGTGCCACGAGGTTTCCATGAGACTGGAAACCAAGCACCAAGAATTGCCAGTGACTGAGAAGACAGAGACTAGGAAATCCGTACACAAAGAGTGCCAGCTGATGTCTTTCCTTGCCGTAAGTGGGCAACACACTGTCCATTTCGTTTAAACCACTGCTATGTCCAGCCTCATCTCTTGCAGTGGACACAACATGAGGCATGTTGTTGGGTGATCAGCCAGGACTATCTTCATGCATGAATCCATATACATACTGTGTGTTTAGCACAGAACACGAGACAAAATAGAAGCTTAATAGCTATTGTGGTGAATAGATAAATAAATGAAGAATCAGAGAATGACTGACTTGCCAGAGAAGACTTCTTTACCTAGAGCCAACAATGTTAGATTATTAAACTGATACAAGTTATATGTGAAAACTATGGCTTCATTTTAGAATAGATGACTACATCTTATTAATACTGAAAGAACAATTTACCTTTAGACAGGAATCTTGGGAGAAAGCCTCACTCAGAGGATGAAGTGCTTGAGTTCCTGCACAATAATTCGTGTTATGTTTAGTATAATGGCACCACTAGGTAAGGAAAACATGCATCACTTTCTGAGGAAAAGACAATGAATCTTTCATGGTTCGGCCAGAGGAGGAAATCTGTCTGCAGCCCACACGTGGGAGCTGCTTGGCTGGGCCCCTGAGGCTCGCAAGGGCTAGCTTCCTGACGGCTTTGTTCTGAATATCGACTCAGCCAAAGTCAATTTCTCATGCAATGCAAAACAGCTCTCTTTGTTCTGTAAATTTCTCATTTTTTCCATGCTTTTTAAACAGAAAAATGACAAGTAGAAACTTGGAGAAAAAAAATAATTGGCCTCTGATTGGGAATCTCATTCACTAATTATAAAATAGAATAAAATGTTTTATAAATCAAAACATAAAAATAAAAAATTTGTATAGATGAAGAAAAATGCCCTAAGTAAAAAATGTCCCTTATAGTATCCTATACCAACTTGCTGAAGAAATCAGGGCAGAGAGGCCTGGGAGGATACCCCATGGTTGCTGGAATGAGACGCCACCCAGATGCACCCCAGGTTTAGGCCTATTGTGCAAATGGGGACAGGAATGGAGTCACAGGGACTTGCCTGAAGAGTTACAGGACATGACTGAATGGGTATTTCAGGAGCTGATGATCCTGACTGCTTCCGGGGAGAGAAATTGGGTCTGGGGTTCAGGAAGACTTCTGTTGCATTTCAAACAAAGTGAATACATTATTAACAATAATTTAAATTGAAATTATTTTCAAAAACATTCTATACCACTTGTAGTTGATCGAAGAGCGTCCCCCCAAATTTATGTCTCAGAATGTGACCTTATTAGGAAGCAGGGTTTTTGCAGATGTCATTTAGTTAAAGATCTTGAGATGAGATCATCCTGGGTTAGGTGGGAGAATATATTTCTGCTGCTTTAAGCCACAAGTCTGATAACTTTTAGCAGCAGCCATAGGAAAATAATACACCACTTTTTTTCTTTTCTAAATGACCTTAGTCTCTAGTAAAGAAATACAATTAAAAAATAAAATTGATATACAATTAATAAAATAAGTTCTTCCGTAACTTTCCATCTTAAATTTGTTCCCAACTAGTAAAATATTTTAGATTTCTCAGGCCATACGGTCTTTGTGGCAACTATTCACCTACCACCTGGCTGCTGTGGAGGCAGACAATACATTAATGAATGAGATGGCTGTTTTCCAATAAAACTTTATTTACAAAAATGGGTGGCAGGCTGGATTTGGCCTATGGAATATAATTTGTTGCCTCCTGACCTAAACAAATTTTGTTATGTTGGAATTGTGGGGCTATAAATGCTGGTCCATAGGGTTTTGGGAAGTAGGTAAACTGTGAGAGGGCTTGGTTGACACATCCTATGACCGTAGATCAAACAGAGATTAGTAATCCCAGGAGAGAGCAACGATTTAGAAACTCATCAATGCCCTGTTAGAACTCCAGGTTTCTAGCGGTTATCACAGGTTCACGTGGTGGCAGGTCCCATCGCTTCACTACACCCAGGCCTGCCTGTCCCTCAACATCTCAATAGATTCACTCACGTGGACATATATCACCAGCACTGTGTGCCCTGAAGAGCCAGATGCTCACAAAGCAAGTAAACCTCCCATTCATCTGTCAAGAAAATAATAAAAAAGGTGTGTGGTGTATATATGTGTACCTCTGTGTATGTATGTGTGCAAGTGCATACATATATGAAACAGCTAGAGATCTAGACAAATCTAGCATCCGACTTCACGATTCATGCTCTAGTGCCGGAGGCATTTGGGTCCATTGGATGGGATATCAACCACCTCTTCAGAACAAAGTTGTGGGCTTGGCTTTGCAGGATGAGCCGGTTCTGAACAGGGAGCGAGGGCAAGGGGCTACCTGCTTACAATGAAGCATGATCATCGAGTCCACACTCACTTGCCCAGTGCCTACTGTATACCAGACCCTGTGGCAGACTTTAAAGGCAAAAGTGTGCCTGAGAAATAGCTTCTCAGAACCCTGCAGGGAGGCTTCAATAGAAGCTTCTTGTCCAAGACCCTGACCAGGGCGTGTGGCTTTCTCCTCAGTTGCTCTTGGATCAGTTAGCACCCACCCACCATGCTACTGTAAGCACCTCTGAGCTCTCCTGTCTTCACACCACAGGAGGGGCTTCTTGATCGCACTCAGTTGCTATATGGGGTATGCAGTGCATACATACATGCACACATTACACACATGTACCCGCACCCACATCTCAGACCAAGGGTGACAAACATATTTGATATATTTGATATCCAAAATACCTTCACGTATAGAAGCAATTAAATTACCCTTGACTTAAGGCCTGCTATCAAGGCCTCTCATCCTCACCCTGAAGACAGGTGTGTTGAAAGGAGTTTGAACCACTGGATAGCAGCAGTATGGCTGAATGCACACACAGGGCCGGTCTGATACCAAATCTAGTTGTTTCTAAAGAACCTGCATTCTGAGGTTAGGGGATAAACTGGCTTTTCCTCTGCTCTGTCTTCTGTCCTCCCGGAATCTTGCAAGGAGGATAAAACGATTTGCTTTCCAGCGGTGACTATGGCTGGACTAGATATGGATAAAGAGTGAGATGCCTGGAAAGTAGAGTCAACAAAACCGGCAGGTCAACAGTTTTAGAAAACAGAACGTTTACATTTTATTTTTCTTCGATAAGGTAACCCAAGGAAATGGTACAATCTTGCATGTTATGTTCACAGCCAAAGGTGCTACATCTGTCTCTGCTTGTGCCTAGGGTTCGTCTTGCAGTAGATGAACCATCGCCCACGCCTCTTCACCATGTAACAGTCCCGGCAGCGCTTCCTGATAACGCCCTTGGTCTTGAACCCCAGAGCAGGCTGCAGGAAGGGCAGGGGTTGGCCGGAGAGAGGTGAGGCCACCGCGGCGCTGGGCTTCACACCTGCCGGGGCTGCACCGCGCAGGGGACCCAACAGGAGCGTGGAAAGAGCACGGGGTGTCACTGCGCAACGACTCAGATGTAGGAGAGGGTTCACAGCAGAAACCACCATTTTCCTTATAAAAACAGTTGCCATGTTGTGGCTGAATCTGTACGAGAAAGAAAAAAAGTTGCTACAGCGTCTTCCGCACTTCCTATTACAACTTCGTTTTCCCTGCTTCACTGGGGTGCAGGCGTAGGAGCCGAGGCGGTCAGGGGCGCTACCATTCCCGGGCGCAGCGCGGACCCTGACAGCTCTGCCTGGAGACGGGGGCACCGGGTGGGGGTCTTGGCGATACCACCCTCTGTGGTGGCTGCGGGACCCTGAGCCAACGGCCCCGTTCGGGTTTAGAGCCTGGCAGCATGGGGAAAAGCGGGGCTGGTTTCCGGGGCAGGAAGCACCCGG